CGTCTGGTATCCCCATGGGTTTCATGGATAGATGATAACCTGTGCCCCAGCACATGAGATTTTCTGCCCGTAAATGAGTAGAAATTATAGTCGTATGCTCTGGCAAATCAGGGATGGTTTCGACATTGATACACTGTAGCCTGCCACATATTGAATTTTCACTGCCACACTTTTTAAAATGTCGAATTCCTGTAATCTCACAGTTACCAAATTGATCACCTATTAAGTTAACTGCATCATAGCACTGACTGGGAGCCTCCCTGGCATAAGGCCCAAAAATGCTTTGGCACTGCATATATCTGGATCTGCACCCCTTCCTGAAACAACGGCCTTCATACTTGCAAGGGGTTCCATCCTGCTTATAAACGTCATTTGGGCAGTAACTTGAATTCCCATCACAGTACTCTGCAAGGTCACATTCATTTTCTTCCTGCCTACAAACATATCCAGATGGACGAAACTGACAATCGTGACAGCAAAGTCCGATGCTACAGTTGGCACCTGGTTGCAACTTACAATTTGATTGGCAACACCGATCTTTATTACACTGCTCTGGGGAACCACAGTCACATTCCTCATTGTCTTCTACGATTTTGTTGCCACATCTCTTAGCTACATAACCAAGTCCTGGGATGTTATTTAGACACGTTGCTCCTGAAGAGACGTGTTTAAAAAAAGCGATGTAACTGCAATTGCTAAACCCAGCGCGTCCTGAGCCCATGATGCAATTAAGCCTACCCCTGCACTGGCAGTATTGTTCATCATGTAGCATCCCCACGGCATGACCCAGCTCGTGAGCAGACCAGGTGGCAGGGGCAAGGATATTTGTACCTAGTAAAGTGCTCGCTGATCCAGCAAGGTCTAGAGAACAGACTTTTCCAAATGACCACGCAAGAGCATCATTAAATTTTCTTTGAAGATATAAATGTGCCCAATCTGATGAGAGCCGAGCATTTAATACATTTTTTTTATATATCAAAAATCTGCCTAAAACTTCAGCTAACTCTGGATATCCAACGCGTATTTTGTTAAAATCCGTCCATACTTCGAGAGCCTTCAAGTGGATCCTCATACGAACATCTTGAAAGTAGGTGTCCATAATCCCAGTCAAAAGCATGGCATCATGTATGACTTGAGAAAGATTGCTGTTCACAAACCTGTACCTACTTTGATCAAAGACCAGGACCAATTCCAAATACCTTGGGTGCTTATAGGATCCGGGAAAGTCCCTTAGCCTAGCCTGATTCTCATAAGGGGCCATCTGCCATTCTAGCTCATCATCACTTAAACCACAAGCCTGGCTGCCAGACTGCTCCTTCTTCAGGAGATACACGACATGTTCAAAGCTGGGAGAGGTCTTGACGGGCTCAATTTGGTAATGCTCGGCATCAATGTTGAATATGCCTCGGAGACCCCCCATGCACGTGCTTATAGTAGCTTTAGAGTCCGGAGACTCTTCCACGG